AATCAATCTGCTAAGAAATGGCTGCGACTTGTTTTGAAAATGAAGGGTGTTACCGGCGAAGATATTCCGTATGGCATCAGTTGTACCATTATTGGCGACTTTAATCGTTTGCACCGGCACAACGGAAAAGTACCAAACATTTTAATCTATCAGTTATTAGTTTAGAGAAGAAATAATAATATAAATTTAATACATAATTTATATTTTTTCTATTTGGGTAAGTTCTTGAGTTCCTTTATGTTAATTAACTAGTTATTTTATGATTTAGACTTTAGACCTTTGCTGTCATTTTTTTCTTTCCGTTTCCATGCCAAAATGCAAATTAGCTCGCATGTATTTAAGATGAGGTCTTTAGATTATACGACAGAGTGTAATGAATAAGTAAGTAATTTCAGTTTAGAAATAGCAGAATAAATCATAAGCTATTATAAATGAAAATGAAAGCAACCTTTTGTACTTCAAGCAACAGCAAAACTTCCTTTTACTTTTCAAAAAATGTCTAGCACATTTTACAATAATTGCCATGATTGGGCTTTTATTTCACTGAACTCTTTCGACAGCGAGCGATTTAAATAAGGGATATTACCAGTTCTAATGAACCTGTTCAGGCAAATGCACACCTTTGGTTAATGGAAGGAGAATTAAAAAGAGATATAACTAGGAAAATTTTCATCTTTCCGTTTTCAGGAAAAAAGAAAAAAAAAAAAAAAAAATCTACTAAGTTAAAGCATAAATTTGTTATTTATAAACACCAGTAAACGAGCAGAAAAACTAAATACAATTACATTACGCTTCATTAACAATTTAACAAACACTGGAAACTGCCCAAAAAGGATTCTATTTAACTGGAAATGTTTGGATGTTTGTATTAATATACATTCTTGATAAGTTTGTATATTTAACTATACATCAGTCAGGGGCATCATCTATGCTTTTTGCCGCGAGGTGCAGTTTTTTTTTTTTTTTCCTCCTAAATCGATGAGCTATGGTTACTAGTTCAGTCACGAATAAGAAACAGGCAAAACTCGGGTACTGGATCCTGTCAGGGTCTTATCTTAATACTGGATTTTAAATACAATTACGATGATTTTTTCCTTACTTAATTACTTTCTCTTACTTTGCTCTTATACTGAAATAAAAGAATTTTTTCAATGAATATACTCATTTACTAACGTTCTCAATACATGTCATTATAAAATATATTAAAATTTTTTTAAATAAATATTTAATAAAATTAAATATAAATGGAAATAAAAAATTGTATTAATGTGGGTAGGTTAATTGCACGGCGTCTATAAATTAACATTCGCTATATGCTGAAAGAAATCGATTTATTAAAATTTTTTAAATTAAAACTCGTACTCGGTATTATAGTTTCAACGCAAATTCGCCTAATCACTAAATACCGAAACCTTTGCAAATTCTAGTTAACAGCACTGCTCTTAGTAAATAAAGACAAATTTCTGAACCGGAAGTCTAAATTATTTTTTGTTTAGAATAATGCTCAATACGAAAACTAGATGGCACTACGGTCGCGAAACATGACAGGAACAATAGTTGAAAAATTTTTGTCGCTCTAATTTTTTTTCCCGTAGTCATTTGGGAACACTGGAAATGAAATTTTTGTTTTATTTTTACTTCATTTCCTTCTGACCGACTATTATCCCGTTAAATGCCGATTGGCATGTTAGAAAGAGATAAACCACAAACAGGTTAAGGATATAATTTCTTAATTTATTGGCATAAACACTAGTGAAAAAATTTCAATAATTTTTATCTCGTAACATACTAGAAAATATTTTAAAAGGCTGCAAAGCTTTTCAAACGCACATACTATTTACAATTCTCGATTTGAGGGAAATGAAACCTGTTTTTTGTACACCAGATATTTTGTTCAAACCAGATATAGTCCGTCTAGTACCTGCAGCATAATCTATATTTACTATTTAAAATTAATTTAATTAATAAAATTCAGAGTCAGAATTTAATTCATTCACCAAATTATAGTTTTACTGAAAGACAGATTATGATTTAAAAAAATTAAACATAAGTCATCAATTTTTTTTTTTTTCTGGTCTAGCACGAGATTAACTCTTTATTTCACTTATTAAGAATAACCTAGTCTTTCTAAACCAAATATTTAATTTGCACTAGGGATAGGAGGGGAGGACTCTCGTGGCCAAAGAAGACAAAGATTTTCTTAGATTCATATGGTGGGAAGAATATAAGGAAAAAAAACAAAAAGGGTATCGTGACCGACGAGTAGTTTTTGGACTTCCGAGCAGCCCTTTCTTGCTAGGCCGTCTAGCTTACCATTTGGGACAAAATGAAGCCATTTTCCTGAAAAGAAAGCTGAGGAATGCATTCTATGTGGATAACTGCATAACTTCGGTAACTAGTCAAGATGAACTTAAGAAATTCATTTTTGAAGCAAACAGATGCTGGCTACAGGTTGTTTCGATTTGTTTCGAGAGTTGGCGTAGCTTCAAAATTTGATTCCTAACTTACTAATAATGGAAACTAACATTCCAACTTTCAAAGGTCTCTTTCGAACATTCTTTGCAAAACTGTCGCGCACGTTAAGGTTGATATAGCGCCATTTTTACATATTCCGCATGGAGAAAGCTATTTTCTCTCTACCCATTAAAAAATTAGAAGTAGTTAGCTTTCTTACAATTTTAACTTTTAACTGGTATGATAAAAAATACATGAATAACTCTTGTGGTGTAGTCCTATAGAATAGCATACAAATTACACATTATGTGAACTCTTTTCAAATATACATTGATTTTAAAAATTAATACAATTGGCAAATTTTGGCAATTTTGTTTGTACTGAACGAAATTATATTTCCAAATCAAAAATGCAAATCTTAAGCGTCGAATACGCAAGGCGTGTATATTTAGGGAAAGAGATCGTTAAAAAGCGCAGGCAGCCTTTTTAGCACTTCTTTCCTTCGCACATCTAACTATTTTCGCAATGTTTTTTTACAACATTTGGTAAAATTCAATGTAGATAGTTAAACTGAGTAACCACCAAAGTTTGGAAGTTGATAATTATCGGAAGATCTAAAGCAGTCTTATAAGGTGTAGATTGCTAGAGACTTGTGTGCCCTGTGTCGTATGCAATGCCCTGTGTCGTATGCAGCTTATGGAGATAGTTTAAAGACTCCGGATCCGTAGAAAGAAAGCTTGGACAAAATCGTTCAAGAAGATCGTCAGGACCAGTGAATATCGAACTTGTCCATTTCATCAAGGCATTATGAGAGCGTAATACCTTTTTAACTCTATCGTTACTTCCACACGGCCACATGAAGCTGAGTTTTATGGATTACTGGTTTCAGAAGGCTCCATATGAGAGGTTTGCTACAAGATCCGCTGTTTGCATACCACTCACTTCTTCAGAACATCAGCTTTGGATCAAGCATCAGCGGGCAGCCTTTCTCTTCTTCACAGATAGGTCTCGATTTAGCATGATTGCTGATTATCGATGTACCTCCATCTGGAGAGAACCATATATCTGCTATCTGTCTTCCAATATTATAATCAAGTGTGCCAGCGAAAGTTTGATGGTCTAGGCAGGCATCATGCTATTGTTAGGCGGTCTGGACAAGCATTACGTCACCTCTGTTCATAGGCTTTCATATTTTTGACATAAGCTCTGTGACTACTGCAATGAACGGGGAAGAAATATTGATCTCTATGTTCGCCTTTTTAGGGGTGGGCCCTCAGTTAATTTTTATGGACGACGACGCTTATCTACCTACAGCGGATCTGATGAATGATTTTCTGGAAGATTCGGATATTACCGGATGAACTGGCCAGCCAGATCTCCAGGCCTAATCTTATAACAAATGTCTCATATCTTCTTAGGAGGCAACTGAAACTCACTTTTTCTTTTCCAGGACCTTAACATCGCAGCTTCAAAAGTGAGTCCGTCTGCTACAGGGACACAAACTACCTCATTTCCAGCATGAAGCGATGTTGTGAGAGCTCTACAATTTTTCGAGGGGACCATACTCCTGTTAGTCTTTTTTGTTGTTGTTCTATCTTGCAACCTCTATTTTAGACCTCTCTTGCGTTGATGAGCCTTACCCAAAGAATAACCTACCATCATGCATATATACCACCACTGTTGTACGCGTTGCCGATCAGTTCTGGAGATAACTGAGTAAACGTGAAAATTTTAGCTATAAGCAATTGTCAGAATTTGTTAATTATTTTTAGGTAAAATATTAGACTCAGTATTTGCTATGAAATCGATATTGGGGGGGGGACGATTACGCTAAATTGTAACCGATGTACATGATATTATCAAATGAAACAAATAAAAAACTCTGTCAGCTTAAATGTGATGCTAGGTGCTAAGGTTCCTCAGAGCTATAACATACCAGCCGAACGTTTTTACACATAAATGCATGCATGCATGCTTTTCCGTAAGAATGCAATTATTCATTTTTATATAATAAACAATGCAATGAAAGTTTAGAATGCAATAAACGTTGAAACGTTTTATAATCATAAATAGAGGAAAACACAATATCCAGTTTTTGATTTTTTGCACATTAAAATCATGTTTTTGTATTTTGGAAGCTGTTCAAGTTCGAAAAGTTAAAATTTTTAAAACTAAAAAAGTGTGGAATTTATACTGCTATCCCATAACCGCAATTTTTATCTAGCAACGCTTTAAACAATGTATATCCAATAAACACACCATCAAAAAATTACACAACCATCTAATCAAAATATGTTTTAAAATAACTCTATTCGGGGTTATTTCTATCTCTATTATTCTTTCGGGGGGTATTTCTATCTCTATTATTTTTCTATCTCTATTATTATTTCTTTTATATCTATTATTCTTTCGGGGGTAAAATAACTCTATTCGGGGTCTTATACTAATTAACTCAGTTTTGTTAACTACCCGTTAACAAAACTGGTTCATATCTACATCCTAAAACATTATTTGATTTAAAATTAAAGAAATAAATAAATACTTACTAAAGCATTGTTATACAGCATATTCTCTTTACACAGTGATTCGAAGTCTCTAAAAAGGGGAAAAAACAACTTAACTGATGTACTTGAGCAAATATTTTGAATGAAAATTAAAAAAAGACACTATTGCTATTATAACAGAAACATAAAAAACAAGGAAGTAAAGAAAACATGGTCAAATTATAAACATGGCTTTCATGTTGAATTAACACATTAACATAAAAGTAACTATGTAGCCTGTGGCCCATATGACTGATCCAGATTTTTTTCGCAATAAAACATTTTCCTTTATTTCGAAAATTTAACGCAGATTACGTTGAATACCAAAGTTCCATTTATACCGAGCCATACGCATTATAACGGGAACAATACGCATTATAACGGAATTGGATGCTAAGCGATTGCACAACTTTAAACGATGATTAAACTCGAAATGTCTACGGCATGGAATTTCAAAGTACTCATTTTAAACAACATTCATAAAATTATAAATCCTTTTTTGTCAGGAACATATTAATCTTAGTGAAATAAACGTACCGTCATTTTTGATACTGAAAAATTTCTAGTATGTGTTTATAATTTGTGCCATCTTTAACAAAGAAGTTGCAAACACATCTTAGTAATTGTGTGAAATTCAGAACTCTGATTAAACGTCTGCACTCAAGCTTTGTTCCTTGAAAACAACCGTTAAAAGTAAATTTTTCACGATTCTCGACAGAGATGGATAGCAGGGCAGAAGAATGTACACTTTTTCGTCCACCATTTGCCTATATCCCTTAGACATTAACCCCCAATGCTTTCCCGTTAACAAAACTGGTTCAAATACTTCCGGTATTTTTGCCACAAAACGGGCCATTTCTCGCATTTCATATACTACACTGTAATGCAATGGTAATGGCCGAGACTTCCAAAGAATTACTGGATATTCCCTTAAGAAGACCCTTAGAACGGACATTTGTAAGAACATTTTGACTAATAGACGAATCAATTGACCACGTTTCCAAGGACTATCTCTTTTCCGTATTATTTGTCTATACTACTATGTTCCGTGCCACCAAGTCGGTATAACGGTTAGTGATGTAAAACGCCGCCAGGAGTGACCACTAAACTTGACGTTTTCTACCGATAGGGCCGGGTTCGAATCCTGGAGAAGGCACAGATGTCGGTAGGCGTATAGTGTCCGTGCGGCATGGGGCAATCAAAATACAGGGCAAGTAGAGTCTTTTCGAGAAGTTCGTGGTAGGAGAAGGGGGCACTTCAAAACTGGAGCGGAAGCTTAACAGTTAGCTAGGTTCAATAATAGCTCAATTACTTCTGGTACTACAAAGAAGATGGCCTAGCTCCTACCGGTACTTGCTCTAGGCGATATACACAATAAATAACTTACTTCTTTGATACACATTACACGTATGAAAACTAGCAGTTTTAGGATTTGTTTCAAGTATATAAAAATTAATGAAAGAAAATCAAGTTTTAATGAGACGAACGTCCTTCCCCACCCCCTTTTTTTCCTGCGTGACAAATTGAATCTCGGTATAATATTTGATACTGCTGGACGTAAAGACCTTGAAAGTTTCCCGGCGCCGAACGATGTTTGGATTCAATGAGCGTTAAAGCTGAAAAATTCGTTTCACATAAGTATGTCAAGCTGAATAGCAGAACATAAAATGCCATTTCAGAAACTGTAGGAAGTTCAATTCTAGCTCTGATCCATAATTCAGTCAAGAACTTTTAGGAAACTTAAGTTTTTGAGTCGCTCGATAACGCAACAAATTTCTTTTATGCTTTGTACGGCAGGTGATTATTTTCATTAATGCCAATCAAAAATGGTTTCTGAATCCACGACAGCTTTTTAAAATCAAAATTCGATATAAAGTTGACTGTTGCAAAACTGTGTGGGCTTTTGCTGATCTATAATTTTAAAATGAAAGCATAGAATTATTTTGTTCAGTTATAAAATTGTCGATACCAGAAAAAATTTCGAATGAACCATTTTCTACCTTATTCGTCCAACATTTTTCTTTTTAAGAAGGCCTTCAGTTTTATTATTCGAAGTAAATATACTACAACAGACATGTTGAGATCGTTTAGTTTCTCAAGAATATATGACAAACAGCACAGCTTTAACAACCATGAGTCATTCTGAAAGAGAACACAAGACCAGATATTTATGCGTTTAAAAATATACTAAGTTTGTCTTTTCATAACAATAATCTTAAACTTCATCCTCTAGACATCCATCTTACTTCTGCGTATAATAATAAATTTTTGCATTCGGATTCCATATCTTCATAACGACTTGAAAATAAACCGCTATTACGAGCTCGGAGTTAATAAAGTTTATAATTTTGGCAGCATTCTGAAGCACTTCGTTCAGTCGCATTACTATAGTTCGACCGCTTCATCCGCGACCATGAGCGCAAACACGCATGCGCCATTCGTACCGAATTACTCTCAAAATAGGGTGGAAGGATGGGGACTTTCCCTCCAGCATAGCTCTTTCCGAAGAAGAAAAGACCTTTTACGTCGTAGCAAATAATACCGCCCCTTTTGGACGAGTCTATGTGTTTTGGCAGAATGCCAACCAGGGTTGCGCTTCAGACGGTCGAACCATAATAAGCTGCAACGGCCTCTGGATGGATCAGACGCATGATAATTACCAGCAGCTTTAGCAAATGAGAAAACCAATACTATCAGTGGCATCGCTTTTGCACCATTCCTTCACATTCCAATGAACTTTTCCATTCTAAACCTTTAGTTTTAAAAAACTTCGTCAACTTTACTATACATGTCTTTCCCTCTTGTATGTTCTTTCAAAGGACGACAAAATAACAATTCTTAATCGATGTTTTCTTAATAAATGTATTTGACATATATTAAATACTGATTTATTTTTGAAATATGAGTTGTTGCGTCTAAACTAATTATAAATTTTGAGTTTTAAGTATAGTAATAATTTGCTCGAACTGGTCATTGCTAAGTTCAGAGATTCTATTGGCAACAGTGCTTTTTGACAGTTCAATTTTGTGAATTTCATTGCCATATTTATTTCCGTTAAGTATTTCTACCATTTTAATAGCAGTAGGTAATACAAGATTTTATCCAACGGTGTATGAATTTTTATTTTTAACAATCAGATATGAAACTCATATGAGGAAAATAAATTTTTTTGCTAATTGTCATAAAATTTCTAAATATATTTTGAGAACAGTCGCTCGAAACATTCTGTTGGTTTACTGACGTACAAAGAATGCTTGGATTCAAGATGCCTTTATTATTTTTAATTTTTTGTTTTTGTTTTTTTTACTTTGGATAGCCAAAGCGTTACTACAAATAAAAAAAAGGAGTTTTTCTTTACCATCATACTTCATTAAAATAAAGCCAAATTGGAGAAATGTCTCATTATATATATAAATATGTAAGAAAAATATCTAAGAAAAATAAAGAATATGTAAAAGATAAAAATTTTAATTAGCAGCGTAAATTAATTTCCCTTCTCTATTCTAAAAATAGTAATCTCCCTTTGCATTGCGTCATTTCGAGATTAATCCATGTCGTACGACTCTTACATAAGCAACACCGTTATTATGATGTGCTTAATGGTATTTTTCGATGTGTAAATATAGAGCCCAGTTTGGCCAGTATTACGATTTTATAAGTGCGCTATACAGAAAATGTAATATATTAAATTAATAGCAATGAAGGTATTGCGACTAATGTTTCTTTAAATTCGTGTATGTGCATTAAACTTTCGTAATATCAACATCTCGCTTTACGACTCCAGCTGGGGTCAAGATTCACAGTTTAAGAAACACTGATTTAGTCGTCGCTCGCGAGAACAACTTAGTTGGCGCCCTCCGAAAAATCAGAGCTCCAGGCGGCTGCTTATGTCACTTATGCTTGGAACTAGCTCTGACAGTGCAAATACTTATGAATTACGCTCACGATAACTAATGTTTAACTCATCACAGCATAAAAGAACTGTCGTAATGCAACTACTGCAGAATAAAATTGCCATAAGAAAGACTAATTAGCATAAAGAAAAAATACTAATTAATATATATTACTTGTAAATCTGACTTAGCTACTCACATGAGATCAGGTCGAAAATGATGAATCAGAGCACAGAATGCTAGACCATCTTTCCAGGAGCTAGACATGTCATTTACTCGGACATTCCTGTACCCATCGGTCACACGACGGCACCATAATTCCAACGCTCGCATTCCTCGCTTTTCACCCATCCTTTTCTCCTTTAATATTCTGGAAGAAAATAAAAAATATTAGTTTTACGATACTGGTTTTCAGTCCATTAATAATAATATAGTAGCAAATTATGAAATTTCAATAAACTACTATATTTGGTAGTTTCTAAGACGCATAATTTTATTATTTAGATGTCTTTAAAAACGGGCTGCATTCTATTTAGTAAAACAACGTTCAGAAGTCACGCCGCCCAGACGGGAAAGTGGTTAATGACTTTCGCTGCCGCGCCGAAGGGTCCGGGTTCGAATCCCGGAGAGGGTATGGATGTAAATTGCCTGTCCCTTCATAAAAGGCAATAATGGCTCACCTATTAGGTGCCTCTATAATAAAGCGACAACCGCTTTCGACCTTAGCAGTGGTTTACGCCTATAACGGCTAATGCCCGCTATTGGAATTAAAAAAGTATTTATAATTCTTTTGATGTAAAGAACGTGATTTTATAAAATGCATTTGACGTATACTTCACCTTGCAATAATAAATTCTTATAATACAAAACTTCATTTTATAACAAAGAATAATTTTCTCTATTTCCCTGCAATATCCATAAAAAAAACTGAATACAAAAACAGTTTAATATTTAATCGGCCTTCGAAATAACTTTTAGTAAACCTGTTTGAAAAAGGAACTTGACAGCAGCTGAGGGAAATATAAATAGGTCTGAATGCAAGTCACACGATACTATATTTAGTAGACATCTAGAATCCTTCCTCCTCCCCCTACCAATTTCCACATTTTGTTAATTTACAAAATATTGCATTACTAATGTTCTTCATGGCTCAGACGACATTTGAATTAGGTAATTGATAATATAGCGTTTCCAAGAAATATGCTTGATTTTAAGGATTCCTTCAGGTAAATCTATACATAGTATAGAACATAGAAGTAACAGAATTCCAATAATCTCAATCCATCGAAATCGGTCTAAAATATCGCCACGACGGTCTAAAATAATATGTAATTGGAATCGCTAGAGCAAAAATGGTTTGGAAGAATACTGCAGATTGTATAAATAACTAAAATTTTGATATAAGACGCAGATAAAAGTAGATTTTGATATTTGATTCACAAGCTCATTGTGAACAGCATATACTGATACAGAAAATACTTTTGTGTTTATAAATCGAATTTTTTTATAATAAAAATATTTATTAAATGCATTATTAGAATTTTATTTGATTTTCTTTGAATGAAATTAAGGTGAGGATTCTTTTAAACGAAGAAGTACGATTAATCTTGTCTTTTTAAAATTAGATTTTATATTTTCTTCAACTATATAAGTAACAGAGAATAAACCATGCTTATATACAGCTATATTGATAATAATTTGCAAGTTCTCTAAATTTATCTGCGAATAATTAAATAAATGACAAGTTCTAGCATTTAAAATTTGTACGGAGAGATTAATTTTAAGCTCGATAAAGTTACCAGTTTATCATAACAGAAATAAAAGTAGTCTATTTTAAATTTAATGTCAGAAAAATGTATGGAATGACAAGAAGCTGAGCGCAAGATAATTTGCATAACAGTCCTTAAGACACGTTTATCTTACTTCGAATGTGATTAGTTAAATTAAAATAATTCTGAGTTTTTGATGATATTGATACTATTTCAAACTTATTTTATGCAAGTCTGTGAAGTTTGAAAATTTCTGCTATAATCTCGGTTACTTATAATTAATTATGCACGTTACATGTCAATGTGAAAATTACATAAAATAGTATTCAGCAAGAAATCCTGAAGAAGAATTATCGCTCAGCAGCTACAGTCAAAGATTATTTACCAGGAAAAAAAAAAAGAATTTATAAATTTAGTAGCTAGTAGAACTATTTGATCCGATATTATTTTTACAAGACTTAAAGAAATATTTTCCTTAAGTAATAATACTTGTGATTTTACAAGTCAGAAATCCGCAATATGAAACAGCAAAAATGTGAAGAGATTTCCTTCAAGGTATTTTCCCTCTAAATTCGGATTTAAAAAATTCTGCAATTGAAAATTATGAGATTTTATGAACTGAATGAATGAGGGAAAAAATATTAATAATTTTCTAAAAACGTAATCACGAACTATACGAAGATGGAGCAATAACTGAAGTTCTCGATATTTTCCAATTCTCATAAAGTTTGAATCCATTGCAAACCAAATTAACATATCCATCCTAGGAGTTTCTGTAACTAAGATGCGTGAGAAACTCCGCAGCTGCCTTCCTTTCTTTCTCTTAAAGTAAGTAGTAAGTGGGGGAGGGGGTGAAGAAAAAGTCAGGTAAGTATAAAAGAAAGAAAAAAAATCTTATTCATCGTCACACCAGCTGTTTGAAATGAAATAAGGTGAAAAAGAGGGAGAGATGGTAGAAAAGAGCGGAACGGCTTTTGAGCCAGTTTCAGCATAATCTGCGTTACACAGACTAGGTCAAGGGTGTAACAATAGAAAATTGAATTATACGTTTTCCCTCCCTCAGATTGTACCTGTAATAGAAATGACTGAAAAAGCAGATCCGATGCAGATCGCTTTAAAAAATGTTTACATCACTTAATAAAAATTCAAAGATATTACCGATATATAAAATGGCTGCAATTTCTCAGTGTTCGTTAGATATAAACTATCAGGTCTAACAATATAGTACACGTGATCAATGAACATTGTTTTCGAATTCCTTCATCGTTTAAATGAATTCTTAATATGATTTTTGACGATAATGAATTAGTATGCAGAATCTTATTTACGAATTGAATAAAACACATCTCACGCTTACATCTACAACGCTCATATATAAATTAATACACACATAACGAGGGACACTTTAATTTCATCAATCGTATCTATATTCCAAGATTATTTTTGAGATTTTCAATTCCGACAAATTTGTCCTAGGAGATTTAATGTTGTTGGTAAAATACACTTTTTCCGAAACAGAATTCATATTCTGTGATAAAGTATCATCCGGCTAAGAATTTCTAAAAAAAATCTCAAAGCTTTTCGATTTTATATTACGCCGAAACGGAAAAGCATTTGGGCTAACATCACATCGGGCTAAAAATATAGTACACATACTATATTTTTAGCCCGATGTGAGTGCTAAAAATATAGTACAGCATACTTTTAGAGTTTTCGATAGTCTCGCACGCTGGAGATAGGCATGTTTTATTCTCTACACTGTTGCCACTGCTCGTTTTGAAATTAATGAGTTTTTAAATCAAAAATTCGTTTAAGTTTTACAAAATATAAAATATACAATAAAACAAATTCCAAATTCGGGTTTCCAGATGTCCATGTTCGGGTGGAGGACAATGTTTTTCGAAATTTGATGATTCTAGGTACCGCTGTTTTGTCATAATCCGCGAAACGTACATTCATGTAGATTCTTCATTATTTAATTTCTTTAAATATAATGCCGGGCGATAATATTTGGTGGCAACAATCTGAAATGTGATTCGGACATTTAAAGTGATTCGACGCAAAATGATATTTCGAGATAAATAGCCCTTCTGGCCTAACGCTCATTTGGGCTATAAAAAATAAAAAATGTGTAATTTCGTTCCGATTTTAACGGATTCAGCTAATTTTTAATGTAACCGCAGAAATGATAATATAACTGTGATAAGTAATATATGTCCTCAAGAACAAATAGATTGCAACTAGTTAAAAATAATGTCAACTTCACTGGAAAAAGTGAAAGAGGATTTATAATCCAATGTTTTTCTTAATAAATTTACTGATATTGAAGAAGATGCATTATAATAAATAATGCATAAAAATAAAGCTATTTATAGCCATATATATAAAATAATAAATGAATTACAATATTATATAGCTGTTGTAAAATAACCATCTGAACAAAATATAAATATTGCTTCGTGGCTTAGAATTATTGCTAGATAAACTGTTAATAAAGCAATTAATTACTGTAACAGAAATTTCATGGAAGTATACTGTGTGCTCAAATGAATTAAACGATTCAAGTATCTTCACTTATGAAGATTATTATAAAAGCAAAAAATATGAAAAAAATCAGATTTTTGGTATGGGCTTCTTAAAGGAAATTATTCCAATGAAAAACTTTTTCATGGTCTTGGCAACTGAAAATTCAGAGACAACCTGAAATTGAGAAGATTAATTTTCAAGGAAAAATGAAGGAACACGTAAAATTACGACAGCAAAATTTCTAAAACAGGAAAAAAAAAAAAAAAAAAAAAAACCTTTAAAGTTAAAATTATCACTGTACATTTACGAGCTTTTAATGAATGCTCACATTACCTTCTAAACATAAAAGAAAAAAAAGTACACTTTGTTACCATTAAAAATATTTAATTCAGATTTTTTCCTATATCTTAGCCCCTCTCTAATTTATTGACGTTAAGACAAGATCGTCTGAATATAGTTTATACATGTAAAATATAAAATCTAGTTTTCAAATAGTAATTATTTCAATAATAACTCAGTTTTATCACAATAATGGAGCAGTTTTATTACATAATATATATATATATATAAGAACACTGAATGTAAAATCACAACTTCACGGAAGCCATTAGAATTTGAAACTTCCAACAAGTACCTTCCTTATTTGTTCCAGTTATATAAAAGGACAGTAATGTGAAATTACAACTTCACTGAAAGCATAAAAGTCGTCAGACTTCCCGTATCTTCCTTATTTCTTTCAGTAATCTCTAAAAGAGCCTCTTAATTTATTATCTGATATCTTCCGTCGAGGATATTTATTTTGATGATGTGAAAGACTTCAGCATTATGCTGTTGTAAAATTTATATTATGCTTCAAAATAGAAAGAATAAAACTGAAGTTCATTTGATATTTTCTCTCTATTAATAGGGAGCTAAACAACAAAATTTCCAAAATGCACGAAATTTGAACAGAATTTCATAATACTCCTTAAACCACCACGAGATCAGAATTTCAGGAATTCCTTTCTAAGCTATTGTCAGTTGACATCACTGGTAATCTACTTCCGTACAGAATGGCAAATTTTCACTTGGGAAG